GGGAGCCAAATGGAAACAGAAGGGAGACAAGACGGACACAGTGACCACCAGGAAGGGAGACAAGACCGGAGACAAAGGGAGACAGAAGGGAGACAATGCGGACGCAATGAAGGAAGACAAGAAGGCAGACACAAGGAAAAAAGGGAGACAAGACGGACGCAATGACCGACAAGAAGGGAAACAAAAGGCATGCCATGGGAGATCCTTGTAGCAACAAGAAATAGCCTTGTCTAAGGCGACAAAAAGAAAACAGAAGGGAGACAAGGCGGACACGGTGATCCACAAGAAGGGAGACAAGACCGGAAGCAAAGGGAGACAACAAGGAAGACAAGGCGGACACAATGACCAACAAGGGAAACAAAAAGGGAGACAAAAGATAACAGAAGGGAGACAAGCAGACACAATGATCAACAAGAAGGGAGACAAGAAGGAAGACACAGAAGGAAGACAAAAGCAAAAGAAGGGAGACAAGATGGACACAATGACCCACAAGAAGGGAGACAAGACCGGAGACAAAAATAGATAGTATTGCTACATGCCAAGCGGAAAAGGGCGGACACCACCTCTTACAGACCTGGGAGACAAATGAATAGAAATGTTGCATCGCCAGCGGAAAAGGGCGGACACCACCCGTGACAGACCTGGGAGACATATGAATAGAAGTGCTGCATGGCCAGCGGAAAAGGGCGGACAGCGCCAGTGACAGACTGGGAGACAAATGAATAGAAATGCTACATGGCCAACGGAAAAGGGCGGACACCAGCAGTGACACAAAGGGCGGACACACCTTAAGAAAGAATTGAGAACCCCTAACAGTAAACTGTTTGGGGAAAAATTCTTCAAAAAGAAACACATCTGAGGAAAAGCTCTTTTTTTTAAATTGCAATTATGAAGGAGTGGGTGTCTTTCGAAAAAGGCCCAGATGGGCGAGGAGGAGGTTTTGCAAGTTTCAATGTTTCAAATCACTCTCAAAAACAACGGGCCGTAGATACTGGGTATGTAATGATCGCGTGATGACCGTTTCGATCTTTTGCAGATTTGGCGCTGAGAAATCAATCGCAAGAACTCATGCCCCCTGCTGCGGAATAGATTGTACCTTTCGTGTATAAATTATGCCTTCGTTCGGTCTTAATTGCATTATTTGTCTAGTTTGGTGATAATTTGTTGTTGTCACTTGTACAGACTTTTATCCTTTTCATTCTTTGTCCGATTTCTTATGTGCTTCGTGGTCTATGGAACATACATCTTGCTTGGATATTGAATCTGTTTGTGTAGCTTTGTGTAACAACTATTGGATTGCATGTCATTGTGTTTCTACAGCGCGCCCTCGATTTTCGGTATGTGAAAGAACAACGCGACGAACAACGCGCGCAAAAAGAATGCCCCAGATCTCGGTGGATGCTTTGCTCTTTCGCCGGTTGTGCGCCGGATCCCTCAATATCCGCTTGAACGGGAGACTCCGGGGAAGCGACAGCCAAGATCGTGTGACCGCAGACAATGCACACGTACACATGCACT